TCAATTATGCTATATCAACGTATCACATCATCATCAATTAAGATATGCTAGCATTCCATGTCCATGTCACATGGTATAAAATAACAAATAATATTTTGATTAAGTCAATCATTAGTCATAAGAGCATATTTGATTCAAAATAAAAATATCAATTTATTTCGCTCAAAATAAAAGTATAAGGTTTGATTAAATGTAATAAAAGTACAATGGGTTATTTGAATTTTCTTAATAGTTTAAAGACTTTTTTTGATATTATTCTAATAATTTTTTCACATAATCAAGTATTTAAACAAATTTAATTACTTAATAAATATACGTAAGGTATTAAGTTCAAATTTGAGTAAAATATTTTAAAAATAGTTGGACAGTTGTAAGGTTTGAGTACTTTCCTTATTAATAAGGTTTGTAATAGAGCATCTCAAAATTATTAGGTATCTTGACAACCTTATATAAGAATAAAAGTTATCCACATGGTGTTCATAAAAAAAATAAAGATTACATGCGCATGACATGTATGCTAACTTAAATTTTTACCTCTAATGTGGCAAGTGAATTGGATTTTTAGCAAATATGACATGTAACAACTACATTTTTCTACATGACATATAATAACTAAATTTTTAACATGACATATAATAACTAAATTTTAAAACATGACATATAACATTACATTTTTCAACATGGTGTTAATAACATATTTTCCACAAAAAGTAATAATAGCACTTCTAACATGCAGTGTAAAAAATATTTAAAAAATGACATGTAACAATATCATTTTTTCGACATGCGGTGGAATAAATTTTTGAACCATGATGTTTAATGACACATTATACAGGCCTAACCTCTTACATCTTTACATATTTTAAGGTGAAATTTATAAACACCCAAAAATAATACAAATCTTGGTATATCAACACTTTGTACAAATTAATAGCAACATTTTATATAAATTATTAATAAGTTAACATCTAATAAAAATTACTAATATTTCATATACAAATCATTTACTCGATTTATATATTTATATGTAAATTAATGTGCTTCATTGAATTTTTAGCTCAATCGAGAAGTAGCCTGAGTCCTACAGAGCACGAAAACTTTGATGCCTGGTTCGTTTCACTCATAAAAATAACGTTGAAACATTTCTCTAATGAGCTTGAACAAGACGATGATTGACAATTGTCTTGCATGTTTTTGACACAAGTTAATATATTCTACAATATTTGATATCATGAGTTGGTATCGTCTTATCGGTGACTATGCATGTATCCATCTTTGAGGAAAAGAAAGCTAAATCGGAGAGGAGATGAAATAAAATGAGTGAAATTGAGGAAAAATTTGACATAAGATTTAGATCAAAACAACTTCGTTTGGATAACATGCCAAGTCATTTGCTTTGTCATCAGTTTATGCGATTTTTTATTGCATGTGATACTCGTTTCATTCACTTATCAATTTAACTCTTCATTTTAAAAAATAAAAAATGTTTAACTTTGATTATTAGAATTGGAATATATGACTCTAATTAAAAAAGTGTCTAAATATTTAATCAAATAATATATTAAAATCTCAAAAAATAAATGCAGTCTTTTTTAATGAATAATATATAATTTATAAAAATAGAATAAAACAAAAGAAGAAGAAGAAGAAAAAAAAGCAACGATAAAGGAAATTACAGGTCAGAAGTCACGCATGTGTCAGGAGCATGGGCCATTCAGAATCTTATCATCATCGTCATAAAAACAAAAGCGAGCGTCCCCTACACAAAATCTGAAGAGCGCATAAGAGGCTTCATCTGGGACACGAATTGACCTCTCCCAATTTTGCTGAACTCTCCAGCTGTGAATCAATGCCCCCCCACCCCATATCTTAGTCAAAAAAAGAAAAAGCCAGCCAATTTCGGAATAGTCTAAATTAAAAGAGAGATTGGAATTATTTTGGAGGTTTGCTTTTGCCATCTAAAATGTCTGAAATATCCTTTCCTTTATGTCTATTTTACCCTGTGGGGTATGTGACTTTGAAATTTTGCTTGGCCAATTTAGATAGCCGCCCTTCTGTTTTTCTTTTTATTATTAGTACGGGAAATGAATGATTAATTGAACTATAGACTTGACCATGTGATCATTATGTACACAAAGAGGATCTCCCCCTAATCTTCTATCTCTTTTTCATTTTTTTAAAAATAAGTAATAAAAAAGTGTTTTACAATTTATATTAAATTAATTTAAATTTGATAATAATTAAAAAATTCATAAATTATTGAAAAAATTTAAATAAATATTTATTATTTATTATATTCAATAAAATTTTCATATATAATAATTAAATAATTATTATTAATTAAAATATTATTTATTATTTTATATTAAATAAAATTAACTTGACATGTTGATATGACAATGAATGTATGTGATCTATTGATATGACATGTTAATATGATAATATGATATTTTTATTTTTCATGTTAACTCTTTATAATATAAAAAATAAAAATAATATTTTTATCAATAATAATTAATTAATTATTAAACCTTATTTCATTCATTAAATTTTTTGATATTATAAGAAGAAAACCTTATTTCATTAAATTAATATTAATAATAAAATAAACATTGTAAAACTTGAAAATTCTTGAAAATAAAGTTAACAATTTTAACTAAAATAGTAATGGAAGTAAATATAGAATAGTTAAGCGTTAAATTTTAAATCTCATCAGACAAATCTATTTAACCTCAAATTATAAAACATAAAATAATATATATGTGTCAATGTTTAACTCTTAATGAGTGAGAGGATTCATTCTAGAGTTCAAAATGATTTCGATTTTATATTCAAATTCATTTTGTATTATTTTATATCAACCATATAATCTTTAAATTCCACAAGTAAAAATTAAAATATTAATATATGTTCATTTGTTATATTAATTTATTAATATTTTAAATATATTTTAATGAAATATGTAAGGAGACTTTAATCTCATTGTTCTTAAAATTTTAATAATTTTATCTGAATAAATAAAGTAATATTTGATTCCTTTCGGATTTTGAAGGGGTACTCTTCTGAAGACAATACATTGAACCACTTTAATACTCCAGGGCCACAAGCTATTAGATTCGACAAGAAGAAATATATACTTCAGTCTTAACTCTTAATTAATTAAAATTAATTAATGAAAATTAATGCAATGTGAGAAAACACGTTTCGAACGCTTAAAAGATATCGCTCCCAATCGGTTATAACCATTGGAAATCCAGCTGGTCCGCGGTCAGGAGGGGCAGATTAGTCAGAAGAAAATAAAAAAATAATAAAGTAAGAAGAAAACTACCGGGACCTTCCTGGAAACGGGGGAGTGGCAAGACCGTAATATCGTTAACAAGCAGTGGCATTCTCTTCCGTGGTTCACGAAGAATGCCCTACCTCCCCACTATATAAATAGGACCCTCATGCCTCTAAAGCAGATTCTCATAATTTGCGTGAGCTGCGAGAAATTCGAAACTACCTAAACCTTTCTCTCTGTTACGCCTCCTCTCGCCATCTATTTTTTCATTTCTACCACAGGCTTTTCTTCGTTTGATTCGTTTTCTCGAATTTTTATATTTTGGTAAGTACTTTTTTTTTTCTTTTTCTATTGAGTTTAATATCTTTCAAATCTGAGTAATCATCGGTTCTCTTTCATGAACTGATTTGTTGTTTTTGCGATTGTCTTTAGGATCTGATTGGAAGTTGGTAAACGATTCTTGTGTCACCGGCGTTGATTGAAGAATTCCAAGTTTTGTATCGTAAGTATCGATTCTTGCGGTTTCTATTCGTTTTTTTCGTATTGGTGATGCGATTTACGATTGGCTTTTTATTCTTTTAATGTATAGTTTTGCATGGGACTTGAATCTAAGATTGATTGGTTTTGTATTGGGATTAAAAGCTGTATTCTTTGACGAGATGAATAATTTAGGCTTATGTTCTTCTATTTTCGAGCTGCTTTATGATGCGGATTTTGATTTCGTTAGAATTATTTGTCGGATGGTTTTGCATGGGATTTGAATCTAAGATTGATTGTTTTGTATTTGGATTAAAATATGTATTCTTTGACGAGATGATCATCTCTTTTCAAGCTGCCTTATAATACAGATTTTGATTTCGTTAGAATTATTTATTGGATATATTTTTATATGTTTTAACAAATTCAAAACTGTTATATTTATTGGATGAATAAACTGTAATGCTTTCCTCACGTTTCTTGAATCTTTTCTTTATATTTATGTAGTTTTTAGAATTTTTATTAATGCTGTAGATGATAGTTCTGGTTGTTTCTATCGTTTGAATTTCCTTATGTTTATTGAATTTAATGTGTTTATTTTTTGTAATTTTTAATAATCTTGTAATTGTGTCTGATTCTCTGATCTTGAACTTTATGTGGAGATATCTATGGACTTACTCTATGTATACCATATTGTTACATGATTATTATTGTTTAAATATAGATGTTAGTATTGAAAAGGAAAAAACAATTTTGCAGTCATATTCTTATTTTTGCTCAGTTGCAGTCATATCCTCCGCAGAATTTTGGCAGTATTGTCTTGGAACTTTGGATTTGTCTCAAGACTTGACTTTCTCCTATGTCTACAAATTAAGCATAGATTTTCTTGATTTTTTGAATTCATTGTTGATATTAACATGATGTAGCTGACAACTTTCTGTTTTTAATATTTTTGTAGGTGTCTGAATGATCTAATCTAATGGAGTCTAAAGGTGGGAAAAAGAAGTCTAGTAGTAGTAAATCCTTATTCTACGAAGCTCCCCTCGGTTACAGCATTGAAGACGTTCGACCAAACGGTGGCATCAAGAAGTTCCGATCTGCTGCATACTCCAACGTATGTAGTGGCTTATCTTTGCATATTGCTGATAATGAAGAAGACTTTTGCCTTTTTTAATTGTATTTATCATATAATGCTGATGTTCTTTTTATTGTATTGCAGTGCTCTCGCAAGCCATCCTGATATCCTCAAGTTTGCCATCTGACCACTGGTAGTGGTCAATCAACTGTTGTCTTGCTTTTGTTAGTTTTAGATCTTTTCTTCGACTGGCCTCTTCCTCCTCTCTCTTCGCGACTGTGATTTTTTTACAACTGTGATCCCCGCAATCGGAAACTGTGTACTTGTGATTCTGAGAAACTTTGCAGCTCTAGTGGTATCCCTTGGTTGACATCGCAATGGCAGTATCTGCAATTGGATTTGAAGGTTATGAAAAGAGGCTCGAAATTTCCTTTTTTGAGCCTGGCGTCTTTGTTGATCCTGAAGGAAAGGGTCTGCGATCACTGTCGAAAGCCCAGTTGGATGAGATTCTGGGTCCAGCCGAGTGCACCATTGTTTCCTCACTGTCAAACAAGCAGGTGGACTCTTATGTCCTTTCCGAGTCTAGCCTCTTTGTCTATCCTTACAAGATCATCATCAAAACCTGTGGGACAACAAAATTGCTTCTTGCAATCCCACCCATCTTAAAGTTGGCTGGCAGTCTTTCTCTTGCCATAAAATCTGTTAGGTACACTCGCGGGAGCTTTATCTTCCCTGGTGCTCAGCCATATCCTCACCGCAACTTCTCTGAAGAAGTTGCTATCCTTGATAGCTATTTTGGGAAGCTTGGCAGAGGCAGCAAGGCTTATGTGATGGGTGGCCTGGATAAACAGAAATGGCATGTGTACTCTGCTTCTGCAGAATCAGTCATCTCCAGTGGCGCTATTTACACTGTGGAGATGTGCTTGACTGGTTTGGACAGGGAAATGGCTTCAGTATTCTACAAAGACGAATCAGGCTTAGCTGCTGTTATGACCATTAATTCTGGCATAAGGAAGATTCTACCAGATTCTGAGATATGTGATTTTGAGTTTGATCCCTGTGGTTATTCAATGAATGCAATTGAAGGGGCTGCAATTTCTACTATTCATGTTACACCAGAAGATGGGTTTAGTTATGCAAGCTTTGAAGCTGTGGGCTATGATCTGAAAGATTTGAATCTGAAACAGTTGGTGGAAAGGGTGTTGGTTTGCTTCAAACCAAGTGACTTCTCTGTTGCAGTGCATGTTGATGTTGCGGGTCAGTCACTTGAACAGAACTGTTTGCTGGATGTGAAAGGATACTGTTGCGGAGAGAGAGGCATTGAAGAGCTTGGAATCGGCGGTTCCGTCATCTACCAGAAATTTAACAGTACTGGGGGCTGTGGATCTCCTAGATCAACTCTGAAATGCTGCTGGAAAGAGGACGAAGAGGAAGAGGAGTAGTTTGAACGGAGTTATTTCCTTTTAATAGTTTCCGTTGGTTCATTTAAATAAAATAAATTGCTCCGCAGGCATTGCCTAATGAGAGCATGGGGTATTATTAGTACGTTGTCCTTCAATTCGTGTCAATGTTACCCAAGTCAATACTATGCCTGACAACTTGAACGTGTACTGTCATCCATTTGGCAGAGTTTGGGTTTTAAGTTTGTATTGAACTTGGCTTATATTATTGCTATCAGAGATTTGCATGAATATTTGGTTGTGAAATTTGTGGCCTTATAAGATTGAAACCGGCGTGAAGAGGTTGAATGGAATGTTTCAAATCCTTGTCATGTAGCGTGTGTCTCTCATTACTCACATTTATCAGATAGGAAAGGGACAAGGTGTCCAACTTTGACGGATCAGACGAAGACTTAAAAGGAGCCTATGGGTATGAGGTAAAAGATTTCTGCGATTAATATCAAAACGCATATATGCATGTTGATCTTGATGCTAAGATTTGATTATGATATTTGATAGTATGTCGGCCATGGAATATATTGAAAAGAGATCAATTCCAAGAGAATAGTGGCGGTGAGAATAAAATTAGAAAAATGAAGTCAGATCAAACCGTTTTTTTTTTTTAAATGGGCTTTAGAGAGAGTTTTTTTTATAAAAAAAACACATCAATTTTTTAAAAATTATTTCTTTTCAATCAATCTTCTTTTCTTTTCCTTTCCGTATACAAATCACCATAATGCAACAGAATAACAAAATTTAAACTTTTTTTGTTTACATGAAATTTAAAAAAAAATAAAATTTAAAATTTAAAATTGTATTTAAATACTATTTAAATATATTATTTTAATATTAAATACATTGGTTTCTCATTTTTCTTTTTTTGAAGCATTATTTTTCAATTGCTTACTAGATTAACAAAAGTCTAATACTATTATTATTATATAAGTTTAAGAGTTATTTTTTTTATAAATTTTTTTGATTTTAACATTTGAAATCTTATATGAACTCGAAGTAAGATTTATTTTATTTTAATTTATTAGGTGATTAAATATCTTTTATGATAATTTTAATCAAAATTAAATTTTTCATACTTTATTTTATTAAGTAGCTTACCAAACAATTTTAATTTAATTTTAAAAGTTATTATTTTTTATAAAAATTTCATAATAATTTTTAAATTAGAAAAAACTTGAACCAAACATGTTATGCGAAGTTTAATTTTAAAAATGATTATTTTTTATTAAAATTTTATAATAGCTTCTATACTGAAAAAAAAAATCCAAATCAAACAAGCTTTGTACAATGAAATCTACTTTTCTAACTCCAACTATCTAAAATGTTTTTGGGAGTTTTACAAAGATAAGGGTCCAGAATTTGAATTTACACTAGTGATATTAATTTATCTGCTGCTGCAATTGTAAAATGTGGCTGTAGTTTAGTGGTAAGAATTCTACGTTGTGGCCGTAGAGACCTGGGCTCGAATCCCAGCAGCCACACACAATCTGTGGGTTTTTCATTTTTCAGTGGCTGCATGCTGACTGACCACTGCTCTGCCTCTGCCACTGCTGCTCTTGTGGTATCTTTGTCTCCACAATCTCCGATACCTTTTTTTCTTTAATGAGAAAAATGATGCATTCCACTATCCTGTCGGCTTTTCAAGAAGTGAAATTTCAGCGTCATAAATGCCAAATTCCCTAACATTACAACTTAAGAGATATGCTAGACAAGCTTTTCTCTCTTAACTTTCGATCACTCTCCATGGAATCAGACATTATTTCGAGATTTTGCTTAATAAGTTGTGCAGTGGATTGATTCCTTAGCATTCTTTGTTTATTTATTAGGCATAGCTTGTCAACCACTACTTTATCTGCAGTTGTTGCTCAGGATTAATCTAGGAATATATTCTTCTCTTTTCTGCACTTGTAACTATCAATTTCACATTTAGTTGGGGCATATATCTAAGTAGCAAGTGCCTGCTGTTGCTAGCCTCTGCCTCCTCCGTTTATGCATCGTTTAAAATTGCACTTCGTCTTTTGTAGCTACACCTCGATGGGAATCAGGAGAGGGAATTCTGTTTTATTATGTTCTGTGGCCTTATTCTGCGTGTGGAATTCTGCATCTGCATCTCCATTGGTTGCACCAAATGGCGTCGGCTATGAAGGTAAGTGACTGAAATCACATGGCTGTCTACTGATTCGATGTTAATAAATAAAAGAAGAAAATTCAAAATATGAATGTAACCTTATTTGTTTTCTTCTGGAAATATATTCAGTGCTAGCTTTAATTGGCATAAAAAAGCTCCTGGTTGATCCTCATGGGGTTCTAAACAATTGGGATGACTCCTCTCCAGATCCATGCAGCTGGAATATGGTCACTTGCTCTCCTGATGGTCTAGTTGTTGGCCTGTAAGTAGTATTATTCGTACTCATAAATGAGAATTAGAGCAGATGCGTTGTTCTGGTGTGTAAAAGTTCAAACTTGTTGCAGAGGAGCTCCAAGCCTGGATTTATCTGGTACTCTTTCACCTACCATTGGGAACTTGACAAATATCCAAACGGTGTAAGTATCAAAATTCTCAATACAAAAAAGTTCTAGACAGAAAGTCTTATGAAATGAAAATTTTTCGTGCAGTCTTCTACAGAACAACAATATATCAGGAGATATACCCTCTGAGATAGGGACCCTTTCTAAGCTTGAGACTCTCGACCTCTCCCACAATAACTTTGCTGGTCAAATTCCCAGCACCCTGTCTCATTTAAAAAGCCTCCAATACCTGTATGAACCTGTGTGACTTCTTTTCTTTTTTTTAAGTTACAGTTAATGAAATCAGAATGAATCTAATATATGATTGGTTTTTTGAATTGCTATTCAGGAAGCTGGCTAATAATAGTCTATCTGGAGAAATTCCTGCTTCCTTGGCTAATTTGACACAGCTTCAATTGTTGTAATCTCTTCATCCTATGAATGAATATATATATATATATATATATATATATATATATATATAGTTTTCCTTCCCTAATGAATTTGCTATATTCGGAGCAAGGATTATATAGAGTTTTGTTCAATTTTCCAGAGACTTATCCTTCAATAATTTGAGTGGTCATGTGCCCACATTCCCTGCCAAAGTATTTAGGCAAGTCTCACTCCAATAATCTCTCTTTTCTTTTCCTATTTATTTTATTTTATTTTACCCTGCTGGAAACAGGAAACTTGGCCAGCTTAAACTTTAGTTGCCTGTAATTTTTGAGTTGATACAGAATTGAAGGAAACCCTTACATTTGCACCGATGGAGCTGAGCAAGTAGGATGTGGAGAGATGGAAACAGGATCTTTGCCCAGCAGCAGCAGCAGCAGCAGCGAGGCCAAACTGAATTACCCTTCGGGAATTTTTCATGTAATAATAATATTGGTTTCTTATTCTCTTGATGTCATACTCCACCATTAGCTTACTCTTGGGATGATCATTCCTAATTAAATAAAATCATTTTGGTTTGATTGTGTATGCCTACACAAGTCTTGCAAAGAAGGAGATTTTTATGTCTTTTTTTATACTGTCTTGTACCACTACCGTTTTGTACAATAGATTTTATAACTCTTTCTGTTAAATGAAATTTTCATTTTGTCTTTTAAAAATAGTAAATAAAATGATCTAATTAAAGTTTTATTTGATTATTATTTTCATTACTACACAGTAATAGCATTTTACTTCAAGAGTAAAAGTGTAAAAAATGCATTTGAATATAAAAACAAGTCTTAGTATTTTTGGGACCCAATCCTACTTTAACTAAGACACTAATGAAGTCCAAACTAATTTGAGCCAAAACCCATCAATCATACCTGTTGAAAAATTCAGTGTTATGACAATTTAAATATTGAATCCAACAATAGGTTGTTCAACAATCAAGTGTTAAATTTTATTTTTGTACAAAGTGCTGAATTTTGAAAATGATAGAATTCATATCTTTTTCTTATATAGTTAATTCCAGAAATTTTTTATACCTGTTAAAGAACATGGAATGGGTTGATTTTGCTGTCTTCCTTACATTTATGGATGTCCATGGTCAACTTTGAATGTTATTATAAATTAGAATAAGAAGGAATCAAGAATATGTCAAAAAATGAATTCTGTCTATGCATAAGAATGTTTTTCATTATTGTTCTTATCAAGTGGTTCCTTATTATAAGGAAGAAGACAATCTCGTGTAGGTGGGTCACGTGATTCATTAAATCATACAATACAGATTTAGTGTTACACAAAAATTGTGAGTCTTTAAAGATTGTATTTATTGTTTGTGTTTAGGTAAAAAATGGATACTCTATATTTGGTAGCAGTTATAGGGCTCATGTTTCATTTTCTTATTGGTTTAGATGGTTAGTTTTTATCTTCATTTTTCTTTTTCAAATTCTCTGTATCAAAATTTCTAGTTTATTTTTAATCTGATAAATTTATTAGAAAGCAAAATTTATCAAAATATACACGAAATTAACAAATTCAACTTGTGAAACCAATCTTATGAAAAAGAAGTCATATCTTAGAAAGTTCTTAGAGCATAGGATTGAAAGTACAATAAGGTAAAGGATAATCGTGTATCGATGTCATTGTCTCTAAATTGTTATTTGCCCTTATCATTAATTTGTTAAAAAAATTACAAATGATAAACCTTATATACAAGGAAACACAGTAATTGATTGCATTTTGCAGTCATGAGACCAATAAACTAAGAACTCGTCAATGTAACTCTTATAAAGTTTTTTCTGTAACAAAATGACATAAAAGTAATCTAGAGAATATTATAAAAAAGGAGAGATCTGAATGAAAGGAGATTAACGTGACAATCTGGGCAAGGGTCAGGTTTGGAATTTGTGTTCTTCACACACCAATGCTTCAATCCAACAGTTAACAAGTAATTAAAGCATGCTGAACACTTTTTGTCTAGTATATATACTTCTTTCTTTAATTCTTCTGTAGTTTTTCCTGATAGATTCAGTGTTTTCTTTCATTTCAATTATGGTTGGAAGTTGATGCCTCTCTTGCAACACTCTGTTTCAGTTTGTCTTGTTTCATGATCTCATCTATCATTAAAGCAGATAAAACTGCATCCAGTTGTAAAAGATCTAATGTCAGTCTCTTTGATTGGGTTTAGGGTTCATCTGTGATAGCCTTATAGGATATGGAACTCTTGCTGAAGACTTGTTTATGTACTAAAAACATGGATTCCACTGGGGGCAGAGTGTGCATAAATAACTGGAAACTGAAAAATATATTGCCAATCGATTAGTTGCATTCCAATCTTCTGTGCTGAGGCCAATATTTCTGTGTGTGTTCCCTCAAACGAATAAGATTTTGATGTTTCTGCTTTAAAGTTTGCATTTGATCTTTATTCACTACATTTGCCAATACATCTGTGTGCAAAAGGATTGCAGGCAATTAAATAATAAATTATATTATTTTAATTCGTTTTTTTAATCTGTCGGGAACAAACATGAATGCCTGTAATCTTTTGTACACTATCAGTGAGATGAATAAAATTTTAAGACTGTGACATTGATACAAGTCTTGAAGCTATTTCATAATTTTTCAATTCTGTATTCTAACATTTACGTGTGAATTTGTATAGGGAAGCATTTTGTTTTCACAGTTAGATCAGAATTGCAACCCCCTTGAACCCAATGCTACAACTTATGATCGAACTAAATTGGTCAGTACTTAGGTTGTGCATGGTCGCTACTTTACAGAAATGGTAGGTAAAAGTTCGTACTCATTTTAATGGTAAAATAGCTACTCTATATAGTTTCTCTAGTTGTATCTGTTGCTTCTATTTGTTACTAGTTCTACCCTAAACTCTCCTACTATGTTAATAATTGTTTGATCACCAATCAGATTACTTGCCTTCATTTGTTTAATAGGCTCAGCTCAGCTTGAAACGACTTCCATATTTGCAGTTATTGGTCAGGGAATGAATTCAACGCTTTCTTTCTAGAATTCTGAGCATCCACCATATATTTATCAGTTCTGCACTCAAAGTAGACATGGGTTGCTTTTGCTTGAGCTTTTGCTTCTGCTTGCAGCCTCTTTTTTGAATTCTATGGACTATTGGTATCATCCTTTTCAGTGTTGTGTATGCTTTTAAGCGTGTCTCAGTTCTTACAATATTCCAAACGCTTAAAATACACACGATAAAGTAGGTAATCACCTTCTGCGCCAGCGTTTTAAATTTGCCGACCATTTTTATCTTACGATGGACCTTGCTTATTCGTTTTCTTTGGGATCTTACTAGTGCTGGAGGTATCAAGACATTCCCGTATGTTTATGCTGGCAGAACTGAACCCACTAAAGGTGCTTTGGGCAAGGAAAGAATGAGGAAAATTGAGTAGTAACTGAAATCTGAACCAATCAAACATTGCTGCTGTGCTTTTTTCTTAAACTAATCAAAATGCTAAGAGTATAATCTTTTTATCTTGGTCTATCTTCATGCCTTTGATGTTGTGGGTACTGGGGACAGCTGCTGCTTTATACACATATACAGGAAAGAAAGCAATTCAGAAGAGCGCCTGGCATTGTTGACATGCTTGATATTGAGTAGTTGAATTCAAAACAGGCTTTGAGCAGAAAGTTGCATGGTATAGCAGAAAGTAACGTCGTGAAAAGCAGCAGTCCTTGACCCCCTTTTGTTCTGAATGTTCAATATAGAAGAAGACCGTTAAGTCAGGACCAGACTTTGGCTTAAATTCAGACAGTGATTTCAGGTTTATGACTTTGCATGATTG